AGGAGCCGGGAGCGCGCTGCTGAGGGGAGTGTGTGCCCGGCTGACGCGGGAGCGCGCCCCTCTTGCCGATAAGCGGATTCGTATTCCCGTGCATTGCGCGGACCGGTGTCGTGTCGAATTTTGTTTCCCCGTCAGACTTCGACACAACACCGGTTCCTTTTGTCACCCTAATACATGTTATGTTATAGGAAACCTGTCCTGAGAGGATGATGGCGGCTGGACCTAGTATTCTGTTTTGGAAATGCCAGTTCCCCTGGCTGTCCCTGATTTCAAGGCATTTTCAACCTCTTGCAGGAAATTAATAAATGTTCCTTAAAATAAGAATGTGCGCGTTTAATATTTGTCTGCATTGGAGCCCGCAGAGCATTGCAATGGTGGACAGCGGGTGCAATGATCTGGCCCCTGCAGACTATTTCCCCCCCAGCCCCGAGTCCCAACAGTGGAGGAAATTCTTCTTGGACTGCAAGTGTGATGACGTCACTTCCTCTCTCCTCCATTTAGATCTATGGCTGCCTCTGCCTCAATGGTAGATGGGACTTGTAGTTTTTCCATTGCCTTGTGTGGGCGGAGCCACAATAAGTATGTAGACAGGAGGCTGAGGACACCCTATCTATGCGTTTACTTCCAGGCGGGTGACGCCGTGCCAGAGACAGCCAGGCCAACGGAATTTTCAGAAAGAGATGGCAGCCCGTGTATTTCTCCTACAGATTTCCTCTAAAGGGGCCCCAATGTGGTCCTAAAAAAGTTACAAAGAGAAAACATTGGGGGCCCATTTCTAAAAGATTCACACAGTCAACGTTTTCTGGACATTCGCCCGTCTGTGGGCGATTGTTGTTTGAAAATTCATATCGCTGCACCGCTCACATTTGTAGCCAGACAAGATTCACCCATCAGCGTCCACATCATAGAGAGTTTCCCATAACAAACACGATTCACCCAGAACATTTAGATTCAAACACGATTCACCCAGAACGTTACCATACAAGCACCATTCATCCAGAACATGCCATTGAAACAAGGATCACCCAGAATGTTCCAATTCAAACACGATTCACCCAGAATGTTCCAATACAAACACGATTCACCCAGAATGTTGCAATTCAAACACGATTCACCCAGAATGTTGCAATTCAAACACGATTCACCCAGAATGTTCCAATTCAAACACGATTCACCCAGAATGTTCCAATTCAAACAAGACTCACCTGAGAATATTTTGATTTAAATAAGGTTCACCCAGAACGTTTTGATGCAAACAATTCACCCAGAACATTATAAATGAAACAAGATTCACTCAGAATGTTTTACTCCAAACAATATTTACCCACAACATTCACATTCAAACAAGATTCACCCATCTGCCGCATTCCACAAGGGACGAATCCCCTTTAATAATAAAGGCCATACAATACAGACGGGTGAATACAGACATTGACAACAAATCCCTTATAAATGGGCCCCTGAGGGAGCCCGGGCTTTGCTGAATGGAGATCTGTGGCACGGGGGATGTGTCGGACCTCTGCAGAGCGACCACTGCTTCCATCCACAGAGACACACAAGTGTCCTTCTCTACAGCCTTGGTTCTCAACTGGTGGGTCGCGGCCAGGACCGCATTTACTCTCCCTGCTGCCCCAAGGCCAGGTTCTGCAATGCGTAACGTCGGAGGCCAGCGAGGAGAGGACGGAGCCGGGGGAACGGAGCCAGCATGGAGGGAGAGAGGTAAGTGCAGGGGAGGGAGGACAAACACCCTGCAGTCTAATTATAAGTGATCTTGGCGACATCGCCAAGATCACTTGTAAACAAACAAGTGGCTTCCCGTTCTACATTTAGTCCTGCTTGTGCAAAGCAGGACTAAATGTAGAAAACAAAAGATTGCATTGGGAGCTCCTGATTGCCATTCCTAGTCTGGGAGCCTCAGCTTAAGTAATATATGTATATGGCTCCCAGACCCGAATGACATTCAGGAGCTCCCGAATGCAATTTGGAAATTCGGGTCTAAGAGCCTCAGCTTTAGTATTAATATCTGTAGATGGTTTTCTGTGGTATTCGCAATGAATATTCCTAAACTCATCCGAAAATAACGAAAATTTGGATTTCGTCCGAAACCCGAATTGAATTTTAGATCCGAATCCTGAAATAACAAAATATCCGAACAAATTTTTTCCGCAGCTTACATGTCTAATTTGTAGGCGCCTTCAGGACAGTAATGACTTGTGGCGCTGAATGGATATAAGCAGCAGAGCCGCAGCCGTCCAAGGTAAGCATGCATCAGTGAAGGGGAGAGGTGGGTCAGGTCAGGGGAAGTGGGGCAAATAGGATCAGTGAACTCTATTTTAACATGTGCTTATCCTTTAAAGGGTTATTAAACCCTCGCATGTTTTTGCATATGTCTACGACAAGCAAGCAGTAAATTTATGCAAAACGATTAAAAAAAACAACTTTTGCAAAGGGTTAATACTTACCTGTGTCTCCGCCGCGCGCTCTCATCTGAACATTTCTCGGGCGGCTGCAAAGGATCTTGGGACGGGCGCTGGGAGTCAAGGAGAGATACAAGGTAAGTCTATGGAGCAGCGTGCAACCGCACAGCATCCGTGGGACATGAGAGAAGAGGAGGACAGAGGAGTCAGCGCTGGATCGGAGACCCACACCCAGCGCTGGAGGGACAGCTAAAAACAGTAAAGAAGAAGATGATCGGATTAAGAGACATTATTTAAAGGACAACTATGGGGTTAGGGCTTTTCCCCATAGTTCTCCTTAGGGTAACGGGAGGACACAAACTAGCGTCCTCCCGTCACCCTAGGCTGTAGCTCGCGGTATACTGAGACGCCGCAGCTGAAGCGGATCCCGACAATTGTGCCGGGATCCACCCAGCTGCGTGACTGACAGCTGGCTCTGCCTATCTGGAGGCAGAGCCAGCTGTACCCGCCCCCTCCCCGTCCGTTCCCACCAGTCAGCGCTGGCGGATCGGAGCGGGGAGGGGGAAATCCAGCCCCTCCCCTGTCACGGCAGAGAGACGTGACAGGATCGAAAGGTGAGCAAACGCCGGTATGTGTTCGCTCACCTCCCGATCTACTGAGCCGACCTGTGACAGTCTCATTGTCACAGGTCGGCTAGAACTATGAGGTGAGTGAAAAGCACTCACCTCATAGTTCTCCTTTAAGGTAAGTCCCTACAGCAGGATTGGGAAGGGGGGAAAATGTTTGACTTGACGTCACTTTAACTTGAAATATATGACATTGTATCTATTGTTGCAAACAACCTTTCATGTCAGGCTGCGGAGAGGCTGACCGCAGTCTGGTTGAGGAAGGGTTAACGCATTCCTCCTGATATGAGACATCATAGAATGTTTAGGCTGCTTGGTTTCACTTCCGCAGTTGCCGAGTGTTTGTGATGTTCTATTATGTACACACGATGGAGTATTGCAGCCTGCAGTGACATGCCGGAATAGAAGCCGCTTGTATCCCACATTAAAGGAGAACTCCAGGATTTGTTCCAAAGACCCCTTGCAGTGGGGCTAACCCAACACTAAAAGGGTTAAGTGTTCGTTGTACTGCAAAATGGATCTTTGTCTCCAAAAACTGGACTTTGCAGGAATAGCAGTCAGCTTGCAGCGTCACTGTGGCATCCAGCGTATCTTGTTTAGTGTGAACGCTTGTGACCGCTGTTTGGGCAGCTCCCCGATCTTGGAATTAAAGGGGTCCATTTATAAAACATTTGCATAGCTATTTACCCAACGAAACGTCACGAACATTCACTCGCGTGAATTAACCAGCATTGGTGTGTTAGCTTTAGGAGTTTTTGGTCACAATGTATAGTGCTGTGGCTGTTGTGCAAATTGGATCAAATCGAATGTTTGAAGTGTGAATATGATGGGAAATGGTACAGATCTGAATGTTTGTTGTAAGGCAATATGCTGCATGAAAATGCATTGAGGTGCCCACACACCTTGCGATAATCGTACCATAATCGCGGGAAATCCTGCGATCGTACGATTATCGCAAGGTGTGTGGAAGGCGTGCGCAGGGCCAGCCTTAGGCTTTTAGGCGCCCTGTGCGAGAAAGCTTTACAACACCCCCTCAGTGGCCACACCCTTTAGTGGCCACACCCCCAGTAACCACACCCATTTATCACCCATATTTTTCGTAAAATATAAAAAGACGGGGTCACGTCAGGTAAATAGACACCAAACATGTCATGTTTTAAAATTGCGCGCACCCTCAAAATCACAAAAAATTACCATGCCCAAAATTGACCATAGGTGACGCTTTAAAAGCTTTACCCAAAAATGTCCGCGCGTCACTAGATTGTTCGGGTTTCCCTTGAAGATAAGGTGGCAACCCTAGTTGGGAACCCACAGATAAGTGTTACCATGCGTGCTGCACTGCGCATAGAACAGTGTGAATCCAGCATCAATGTGAATGTTGGCTCATCCACGAATGGAAAACTAAAGTTGTTGTATGAATGTTCTTTTCTCTTCTGATATAATGTTCTTCGGGTATTTTCTCTTCTACATAGTAACACAGTAGGTGAGGTTGAATAAAGACAAAGGTCCATCCAGGTCAACCAATGTGTGTGTGTCTGTTGGTGTACGTGTGTGTGTGTGTACGTGTGTGTACGTGTGTGTACGTGTGTGTACAAGTGTGTGTGTGTGTACGTGTGTGTGTACGTGTGTGTGTACGTGTGTGTACGTGTGTGTACGTGTGTTGGGTGTGTCTATACATATATGGCTCTAACATTTCCTATTTCATTGTATATTAAGTGAAAGAAGAAACTCATCTTGCCGTTCCTTGACTTTATCAACGCTATCAGAGGATACCACTGCCCGTGGAAGGGAATTCCACATTTTAATTGAATGTTCTTAGTTA